ACTTACTTCCATGAAGATCCAGATATCTTTATTTTCAACCTTCCTTAAGCAGTAGTAGAGTATTGTATGGTGTTAGCCATTGAATATGGCAAAAGGTTTGGAGTTTCTGTAATACCCCTTATTGGCTAACCTAAGAATTAAAGATGAAAGTTTTCAGGGTAATGTACAAGGAAGAGATCTAAATTATCCCAAAAGCTTGTGTCTTTAATAATTTACAGTAAGTCAGACCATAAATAGTATAACACCAAACTTTCTGTAAAGTTCTATTAGACATGGAAGGTTAGACTACCACTGTAAACAACAATGACCTACCTTCAGGTGTCCTCAAACTAACTGTTTTTGTTCCCCTAGATCTCATGTAACCCCCTGTATATCCCTCCCAATAATGCTAACAATTTCCCTCCCTCTAACCTCAACGCTAACCCTTCCGGTAACTTGAACACTAACCATTCATGTAGCCCTAAACACTAACCCTTCATTTGATTATAAATCTATAATTCCCTGTAACTCCAACACTAACCCTCCCTGTAACGCTAACACTAACCCTCCCTGTAACTCCAACACTAACCCTCCCTGTAACGCTAACACTATCCCTCCTTGTAACCTTAACACTAACCCTCCCTGTAACCCTAACACTGTCCCTCCCTGTAACCTTAACACTAACCCTCCCTGTAACCCTAACACTGTCCCTCCCTGTAACCTTAACACTATCCCTCCCTGTAACCTTAACACTGTCCCTCCCTGTAACCCTAACACTGTCCCTCCCAGTAACCTTAACACTATCCCTCCCTGTAACCTTAACACTGTCCCTCCCTGTAACCCTAACACTATCCCTCCCAGTAACCCTAACACTGTCCCTGCTTGTAACCCTAACACTGTCCCTGCCTGTAACCCTAACACTGTCCCTCCCGGTAACCCTAACACTGTCCCTGCCTGTAACCCTAACACTGTCCCTCCCTGTAACCCTAACACTGTCCCTGCTTGTAACCCTAACACTATCCCTGTGTAACTCTAACACTGTCCCTGCTTGTAACTCTAGCACTGTCCCTCCCGGGTAACCTTAACACTGTCCCTCCCAGTAACCCTAACACTGTCCCTCCCTGCAACCCTAACACTATCCCTCCCTGTAACCTTAACACTGTCCCTCCCTGTAACCCTAACACTGTCCCTCCCTGTAACCCTAACACTGTCCCTCCCTGTAACCCTAACACTGTCCCTCCCTGTAACCCTAACACTGTCCCTCCCTGTAACCCTAACACTATCCCTCCCTGTAACCTTAACACTATCCCTCCCTGTAACCCCAACACTATCCCTCCCTGTAACCCTAACACTATCCCTCCCTGTAACCCTAACACTGTCCCTCCCTGTAACCCTAACACTATCCCTCCCTGTAACCTTAACACTATCCCTCCCTGTAACTCTAACACTGTCCCTCCCTGTAACCCTAACACTGTCCCTGCTTGTAACCCTAACACTGTCCCTCCCGGTAACCTTAACACTGTCCCTCCCGGTAACCCTAACACTGTCCCTCCCTGCAACCTTAACACTATCCCTCCCTGTAACCTTAACACTATCCCTCCCTGTAACCTTAACACTGTCCCTCCCTGTAACCCTAACACTGTCCCTCCCTGTAACCCTAACACTGTCCCTCCCTGTAACCTAACACTATCCCTCCCTGTAACCTAACACTATCCCTCCCTGTAACCCTAACACTATCCCTCCCTGTAACCTTAACACTATCCCTCCCTGTAACCCTAACACTATCCCTCCCTGTAACCCTAACACTGTCCCTCCCTGTAACCTTAACACTATCCCTCCCTGTAACCTTAACACTATCCCTCCCTGTAACCCTAACACTATCCCTCCCTGTAACCTTAACACTATCCCTCCCTGTAACCTTAACACTGTCCCTCCCTGAAACCCTAACACTATCCCTCCCTGTAACCTTAACACTATCCCTCCCTGTAACCCTAACACTATCCCTCCCTGTAACCCTAACACTGTCCCTCCCTGTAACCCTAACACTATCCCTCCCTGTAACCCTAACACTATCCCTCCCTGTAACCTTAACACTGTCCCTCCCTGTAACCTTAACACTGTCCCTCCCTGTAACCCTAACACTGTCCCTCCCTGTAACCTTAACAACAACCCTCCCTGAAATGCTAACTCTAACCATCCCAGTAACCCCAACACAAACCCTATGCTAACAATAATTCCTATACTAATCCTCTCTGACAAGGGTCAGCATGGGCACCCTGACCAGTCTCCAACTTTCAACACATAAACTTCAAGGACAACCTGTTTAATTGCTGCCTAATATATCCAACCCACTTTCAGATGCCATTGTAACAAGACAATCAATGTTATGCACTTAACCTATTAGTGGTCATATTCAGGGTGGATTTAATATAAATCAAGTTGATTTAAATCACTAGTGTGAAGAGCATCGATTTAAATCATAATTTTTTAAGAGCAACTGTCATCTCTGTCCTGCAGCGGCTTCTCCTCTGACCTGCTGTTGACTCACCGACAGTCCCATTTACTTTAATGGGATGGCTGGTGATGCGGCAGGGACACAACAAGGTGAGGGATGTGGCGGCGGAAGGTGAGTGGATGCCTACTAACAGGCGCTGCCATGACGGATCTAAAATGACAGGTGCTCTTTAAATGTAAGGAATACGACTCATTCTTGCTGGTAGTTAGATTCTTTAATATTTGCAAACCAAATGAAGATTTCCTTTTTAGAATAATAAACTGTCAGGTTAGAAAAACAGCGATATCAGAACCGATTTTAGGTTAATAGTTGGATAATTACTCAAATTCTTTTATTTCATGTTTTTTCTCATGGTTGCTGTGAAATTGTGTGAATGCATCAATGCAGTGCATGTTATCTCAGCTTGCAGAGCTTGGATTCATTGAATGAGCTTACCAAAAATGTAAATATTGCAGAATATACAGCCTCATGCTACATAACTAAGCTCCATTTCATGCTGAATAAACTAAATTATTAATGTATCTTAAAGCGAAGCTCCACCCAAAAGGGGAAGTTCTGCTTTAAGCCTCTGTCCCCTGCTCCCCATTAAGGATTGGCACCTTTGGGGAGCGGGTACCCGAATTTGACAGGTACCCGCTCCCACGTCCGAAGCGGAAGTTGTCCTCCCCCTCCCTCCCCATAGTCTTCTGGGACATGTGACAGGTCCCAGAAGACTCCGGGACCATTCACACAGTGCAGTGCTTCTCGCTCATGCGCAGAGGGCACCCGACTGTGAAGCCGCAAGCTGTCACAGCCGGGTGCCCACACTGAAGATGCCGACGCCAGGTAGAGAAGACGGCCAGTGAAACCAGAGGTGTGGTGAGGACACCGCTGGACTGAGGGACAGGTAAGTGTCTGTATTTTAAAAGTCAGCAGCTACAGTTTTGTAGCTGCTTTTATTTTATTTTTTTCAGGTGGAACTCTGCTTTAAATAGAAAACTATCGTTAGACAGATTTTTACTCCAAAGCATTTTATTAAAATATTTTATTAAAATTAAAAAAAATTAAAATAAATTTGATAAAAATAAAAAAAAATTCAATTTAAATTTTAAAAAATCCGATTTAAATAAAAAATATTGATTATTATTCACCCTGGTCATATTATAAGGTTGTCGCTGATATGTGTATACAGTATGTAAACTGTTTTAACTGTGTTTAGTATGTCTTCTGATTTGGTCACCCCTGCCTGATAGCACACCCAGGACCTGTGTAGCAGCACAGCTTGGTCCAGTGCAGCAAAATAGTTTGGCCAAGTGTAAGGTCATCCCTCAGCTCTGTCCTCCTGCTGTATAGGAGACTACTGGAAGCTTAAATCAAAAACGAGTAAGCTACATGTACATTGTGCAGGGTGACTGGTCTTGTCTCCGCCCCTCCTATAGTTGACTGCAGGCAGCCTGTAGTGGGAGGAGCCTGCTGGGTCCCCTCCCAGATCTCTGCCCTCTGCCCAGACTATATATAGTACAGTGATGATGTTACCACTGCTTTTACAAGGTAACATCTGGGTTTTTAAAGACCTTTCGTGCACATAAAGTGGATGGCCTGAAGATAAAACCCCAGAACATTATATATTTTCTGAAAGCAGACAACCTAGAGATTAAAGTAGTGGTAGTTCCAATTTTTTTATGTTACACTATATTAATGCAACAGTTTAGGAAACACAAACTTTCAGTAAAAATACACTGATATTAATTTCAAGGCATAACACAATAAATTACTACATTTTTGGTAAAATATAAAAGATAAGGATAAGGATGAGGATAAGTAGATACCCAACATGTCAAACCTTAAAATTGAATGCACCTGTGAAGTGGCAACAAACTTCGGTACCCTATATTTTCCATCGGCAACTCTTTAAAAGTCCCTTTAGGTCATCAGTTTAAAGTTAAAGTGTTACTAAACCCACAACAGTAAAATCAGTCTGTATATGCAGTAAAGCATGCTTGTTATACTCACTGTAGAACCTAAGGGGTTAATCCTCTGCACTGTGTAAAATGGCTGTTTGATCCTTTCTTCTCTGTTCCTCCCCTTTTTCAAGCGACCAACTCTTATCTCCAGACTGAATCATAGGCATGCACATGCTCAGTTTAGAGTGTATTACTAGAGAGGTTTTTTTTTTTTTCTTTGGAGAGTGCATGTGATCAGCACAGGGCCAATCAGCAGTATCCAGACAGAGGTCAGGTGTTCTGCATTATCCTAGAGCAGAATGAAAACTCCTCCCACAAGCTTTAGCTAGTGCTGGACTGGACACAGATAGAAGTCACAAGACTGCTCTACTTCTGATGAGAAAAGGTATTTAGCAGTTTATATTAAAATAATTGTACTTCTATGTTGTGTGTACTGTGGGAGACCGGATATAGTGAATGCAGGGTCCGGGGAGACCGGATATAGTGAATGCAGGGTCCGAGGAGACCGGATATAGTGAATGCAGGGTCCGGGGAGACCGGATATAGTGAATGCAGGGTCCGGGGAGACCGGATATAGTGAATGCAGGGTCCGGGGAGACCAGATATAGTGAATGCAGGGTCCGGCGACACCGGATATAGTGAATGCAGGGTCCGGGGAGACCAGATATAGTGAATGCAGGGTCCAGGGAGACCAGATATAGTGAATGCAGGGTCCGGGGAGACCAGATATAGTGAATGTAGGGTCTGTGGAGACTGGATATAGTGAATGTAGGGTCCGGGGAGACCAGATATAGTGAATGCAGGGTCCGGGGAGACCGGATATAGTGAATGCAGGGTCCTGGGTTTAGTAACACTTTCACCATGAATAATGGGCTTAGAATTATTGCTCTCACTCCGGTGTATGGGATATGTAACGTGTGTTGCGTAATTGATGTTTTTATGTGTAGGTGCCCTCAACAAGTGCATTTACGTTTCTATATGCGGGTGAGGGAGGCTCAATTTTTTGGAGGAGTGAGCTTGCTCAGATGGAACTTTCATTTTTAAAAATTTTTTTACTTAACTTTTTTTAAAACATTTTTGGATGATGTCTAAAAAAAACCCTGATGTCTCACCTGCCCACCAATGGAGCTGGTGGAGTGCAGATTGCTGCAACATGGGGACCCAGAATTTATGTTTTACATGGTCCCATGCTTCCAGGTCAGTATGAAGAAGGGGAGGACAGCGAACAGATGTACCTGGTGCAGGGGCGGACTGACCATTTGGGAACTCGGGCACTACCCGAGGGCCTGGGGTCAGTAAGAGGCCCCATGAGATGTCCCTGGTACCTTTCATAGGTTTTTTTGGGTGCGGTTTGAGTTTGGGTGAGGACACAGGGGCCCCATGATTCCCTATTGCCCAGGGGCCCCAGGAGTTGTTAGTCCGCCCCTGACCTGGTGAAAACCGCCATGCCAGTCCCAGGTGCACTGATGTAGAGATCGGGATATATGGTGGTGGCACACATAGAGGGGAGTGCACATAGTACATGTGGGTGTGTGGAAGCAATCCGGCGGCCAGCCGGCAGTGGGCTTGTCAGAGGTGGAAGCAGCTGCTGAGAGTGTGTGTAAACCACCACCTCTGTATTACGTATGGTCAAATTAAAGTTTCTGTGCATGGAATTCAGCTTTAAAGTTGGAATTCAACTTTGTAAAAAAAATGCTGACAGGTATTATTATTATACAGGATTTAAAGAGCTCCAACAATTTGCTCAGTGCTTTACAAAATAAAGGGAGACAATACAGCAACACTACAGTTCAATACAAGAGGGTTAGGAGGGCCCTGATCCTTGGAGCTTACAATCTAAGAGGGAGGGGCTGGTGGTACATAAGTTAATAACTGTGGGGGATGGACTGGTAGAAGGAATATAAGATTCCGTTATTAGCTGAAGGCAGGATAGGCATTCCTGAAGAGGTAGGTTTTCAGAGATCGCCTAAAAGTGGGCAGAATAGGCGACAGTCTGATAGATTGGGGTAGAGAGTTCCAGAGCATGGGGGAGGCTCTGGAGAAGTCCTGGAGATGAGCATGGAAGGAGGAGACAAGGGAGCTAGAGAGCAGGAGGTCATGGGAGGAGCAGAGAGGATGGTTTGGGTGATATTTGGAGACAGGATTGATGATGTAATTTGGGGCAGTGTTATAAATGGCTTTATATGTTATTGTTAATGTTTTGAATTTTATTTGTTGGGCAATGGGAAGCCAGTGGAGGGATGGACAGAGAGGAGTGGCTGATACGGAACGGTTGGTAAGGTGCATGAATCTGGCAGCAGCATTCATGATAGACCGAAGAGGGGATAGCCTGCGCAGGGGCGGACTGACTATTTGGAAACTCGGGCTCTGCCCGAGGGCCCGAGGTCAGTAGGGGGCCCCATGAGATGCCCCTGGTACCTTTTTCATAGGCTTTTTTGAGTTTGGGCAAGGACACAGGGGCCCCATGATCCCCTATTGCCCGGGGGCCCCATGAGTTGTCAGTCCGCCCCTGAGCCTGCGATGAGGTAGGCCAATGAGGAGGGAGTTACAACAGTCAAGGAGAGAGATAATCAGGGAGTGAATCAGTTGCTTAGTGGTTTCTGAGGTTAAGAACGGTAGGATTTTAGTGACAACACTGTTCTGTGATGTAATAATGTGAATCCCATGCACATGCTTGGAACTGATGTCATTGCAGCACAGCCAATTATGCCGCCAAAGAGCCAGAACCTAGAAGGAAGACCGGGAGAAGATAGAAGTGCCCGTGCCATTGCAGTGATAGGAGGGAGCGCTTGGCAGGTAAGTCTGCCTCAATGTGCCAATGTGCATTGCACACTAGTATATTATGACATAAAGCTCCTAGGGGCCATTTTTTTTATATTTATGCAGAGGTTTTGTTGTGCTTTAAGTACTGAGTAATGACTTTGAAAGCACCAGTCATACCCTTTTGGTTGAAAGGGGATCATGACAAAAGGACTCATCCCCTTTTTTGTTGTCCAAAAATGGTTGGTGATCAGTTATGTAGAGGTTTGTCAACACAAACAAAAATCTCTGCACAGCCAATTGTCAATTATTCCAATTACAATAGAGAAAAGATTGTATGCGTCTCGATTCTGCTGGGCTGGTAAACCCCATAGGATCGTGGTAGCTCCTGCAGCCTAGTGATTTCGGTGAGGAGAGGCAGATCCTAAACCGACTTATTGAACGTTCTTTACTGGTTGATAGGGCTCTATCTCTCTAATACTAGTAGCCTGGCCTTGCAGAGGGTCCTTGTAAAGGTCTGTAAATAAGATCCTATGTTTGTGTTTCAGATGCTTGTAATTCCAAACCCAGCAGGCTGAACCTCCCCTGAGATTGGAGGTAAAAGGAGGCAGAGGGGGAGGAAAGAAAACAGAGAAGGAGGCCAAACACTGATAAACAGGAGGGAGAGGACTGCAAGAAAGAAAGGGGATCCTAGGCCTTATTCACTACGAGGAATAGTGAATAAGAGAGAAGTAGAGAAGTTTTGGCACTTTCCTCATTCCCGTCGATGCTACCGGAAAAAAGAGACAAATCCCTCTTTATTTTCACATAATATGTCTCTGTGTTACGATAAGAGAGGCACGGACAGGAGGCAAGGTGACATAGATAATATCCTTGTGACTGCATGGACATATACAGGCGACCTATACATGCTGCTAGCTTTACTGAAAAGCAATATTAAACCCAAAACCAAACATTTTATATACTGCAGCTTACCAATCTTTAAATGTGGTGGCTGCATTGATTTTCTTTTTTAGGCTTTTTTATACATTTATATTTACCCAGTTATGCAGCCAGTAGCACTACTTCTATCTTAAAGCAATACTAAAAGGTTCTTTTTTTGTAAACTAACAAACAATTCTATACTTACTTGCTCTGTGCAGTGGTTTTGCACAGAGCAGCCTGGATCCTCCTCAGGTCCACTGCAGGCTCTCCTGGCTCCTCCCTCTTGTCGGGTGCCCCCAGAGCAAGCAGCTTGCTATGGGGGCACCCGCTGCTCTGTGTGTCCATTCACACACAGAGTCGTGGCTTGGCGCTGCTCCTTGTCTCTCCTGATTGGCTGACTGGCTGTGATTGGCATGAAGGTAAAAAACCTTGAGCCTTAACAACCGCTTTAAGGTGTCTCCACTCTAGATGGAGGAGCAGCGGAGACAACTTTGCACGGCAGCACTGTGAGACTGAGAAAAGGGTAGTGTTAGATGCACTAGTAGATTTATGGTGGCCATACACACTTCAATAAATGATCAATTTCTTATGTGTATCGTTCTCTTCCGCTGGATTAATCAATCTGTATTAAACAACACTTTCGATCAATATACCACAGATGGGGAAGTGGATTTTGACTGATGTTAATATACAATTAAAACAAACAAACATAAGTTAGTGATCTCTGTTTCTACCATGTAACCTCATAATCCAGTGGTTCTCAACCTGTGGGTCACGACCCCTTTGGGGGTCGAACGACCCTTTCACAGGGGTCCCCTAAGACCATCGGAAAACACATATTTCTGATGTGTAAAGAGCAGCTACTGTGTTGAAAGCAGCTACTCTGTTAAAAGCAGCTACTGTGCTGAAAGCAGCTACTGTGCTGAAAGCAGCAGTATTGGAGGTAAAACGACACTTCATGAATTATATAATTACTGGGTAAATAATTTTATGGTTGGGGGTCACCACAACATGCGGAACTGTATTAAAGGGTCGCGGCATTAGGAAGGTTGAGAACCACTGTCATAATCTGACTGATCGAAATACACGCGTATTCATGAAGAAAGTATCTCAGTGATTCCAATTGATGCACAATGATCCATAATGTTCCTCCCTGGCCAATCAAACTCAATCTGATCTAACTTGAGTGTAAATTGATCAGAAGTTATGGCTATTTGATTGCTTGCTGATTTTATTGTTTTGATCAAATTACACATCAATCTGATAATAAAATCAAAGTGTGTTTGGCATCCATTAGATGGACTTGACAATTATTGCCAAACTCCAGCTAACACTTTTTAAGTTTTTTCCATTTTAGGATAAAGGTTTTACATAAATAAATAAAAACTGACCATTGTGAGCACCCTGTCAGTGATAAATGGTTTATCTCAACCCTCTAACTGCCACTTTTTCTGAACACTAATTATGTAAAATTTGTTATACCTAAACTTCAGCTTATAGGGTCAGTTCACCTTTACAGTGTAGCACTTAGCCCCGCAAGAGACGCTGGTGATGATGGGTCCTCTGTTTTGCTGTTCGGTCCCCTCTGACACACTTGGTCAAAGACTAAAAGCAGTTTACACCGGTGTGAGACTTAAGAGTTAGTAAGCTGCCACTCTGTGATAATGCTCAGGAATTAAACCACAGCAACTAGGATCAATGAACTACATGTATTAAGGCAATGCAAACAAACATAGGGTACATCAAGAAACATGTAATGACACAGACTCAAGGATGCTATGAATGGTGAAGTGGTTGATTACCCACTTGCAAGTATTCAAATGTTACAGCAAGACTAAATTAAACTACTACCATCAGGGGCGGACTGACCATTTGGAAACTCGGGCACTGCCCGAGGGCCCGGGGTCAGTAGGGGGCCCCATGAGATGCCCCTGGTACCTTTTTCATAGGCTTTTTTGAGTTTGGGCAAGGACACAGGGGTCCCATGATCTCCTATTGCCCGGGGGCCCCATGAGTTGTCAGTCCGCCCCTGACTACCATGTCTCTAATCAAACTCAATCAGTTCAGAAGAATCAAAAAGGGTTCTGCTTTACACCTTATGCATACAACCCCAAAAGCGGACAGGTGTGCTATAGTGGATGGGGTACCCCTGAATGTGTCTGAAGGTCCCTGGAGCCTGGTATTGGCCTGATAATACTTTAAAAGTGTTAATAGATGACAGAGGCTAAGCTGTTAAATAGTGGTAGACTCCATTTGGGCTAACAAAGTTTGGCAGGCATTTAGGACAGGTAGTTTAGCCCACCACTTCCTAGAAGCCTAATGACTC